TTGAGATTGAGGACAGTTAGCGGCAAACCGTTTGGCGATGCAGGCAATAACTCCGGCGCCGCGAGACTTGCATTGACCCCAATCAGAATCGGAGGCGGACTTGCCTGTGTCTTCACTGCAGGCGTTGAATTCTCTCCGAGAAGTGTTTGTTCCAAATCCGATAAGGCAGACGCCAACTTCGCGTCGCCGACTCCACCCAATAGCAATGGCCCAGATTGTGAAACGGTGGAAGCGAGTGGTGGTAGATTGACGCCCGCTTTGACCAATGCCGCTCTCAATTGAGTCACATGCGTTTTGTAGAATTTGATTTCTTGTTGCTGTATTTGAACTTGTTCTCGCAAATACGAGTTCTGGTACCGTTGAGTGGCGGACTGTGAACTCACGGCCGCGATGTGTGTGTACAGAGCTCTCTTTGTGGCAAAACTGCGCCATGCGGTTGTTATGGCACTAGCAGTCGGCAGCACCAGAGGGTTTTTGCCCAGATTTATCGATGAACCATCCGGCATCGGTGCAGTTGTTGAAACAATGGGAGACGGTTCCGGCGTCGACATAGGCTTAGGAACGGTTGGCAGTGAATTAGTATTGTCGGGAGACATTGCTTATATGAACTGATTCTCGGTGTGCGTGTCAGTTGTGTGATGTGTTTTGTTGTGAATGTTTAGCATTTTTATACACACATTTTTGATTGCACAGATGTGCGCACACAAACTAATATTCAATTTCAACGCAATGCGCAGTAAACCTGTTATGGAATTTGAGTGATGTAACCGGAATAGAGCCAATGGTGTATTGGATTTGCTGTTGCGAGGCGTCGTCTAAGAGTTCAGTGACCAAATCACATAAATTTAGATCATCTTCGCTCGGCTCGTTAGCGTTGCATATAAGCAGTATACGTCGTACGAGTATCCCCTCCTCGATCCAAAATGGTCTACATATTAACCAATCGCGCGAAAACAGAGACACTTTATAACCTTTGCAATAGTGGGATAAATTATTTAAAATATTAATATGTAACTGGAATAAATATTTATAATACGCTTGTTGTTGAGCATTTAAATAATACATTATTTATTATTATTAATCGTTATTATTTAATAAAACCCGCAATTCACGCAAAAACAAATTTGTCTCTCTATGTGTTTGCCCGCTCGACAGGATGTGAATGGTCCGGATTTCTTCATTGCGATGATTGATATACGGCCTACGTATCTCAAAACACATGTCAGCGAAATTGGCCACAAGGCTTGCCTCTTCGCTTGGCAATTGATTGATTATTTTATACGCAACACTAAAAAAGTCCTTTAAATCGCGCGAAAGTTGTGCCGAGAAATACATTTTTCACCCTAATGATAAATTGGATTATTTTACACTGATATATATTTGAAATAAATATAAATACACGCATGTCTACTATTGCATGAAAATAAAATAACGCGTTTGTTTATGTTAAAAATAAAATAATTCAAATTTATTATACTTAAAAATTACAATTTAATTTAATTTATAAGCATCAAATACTTCGGCCACTTCCTCTACCAGTTCATTGTCCTCGTCAGTATCGTCATCATCGTTTTGATCGAGACGAAACACTCTCCGGGCGTTGTGCTCTGTACGATATAAGTACCACTTGCGGCCATAAAGCGTGACAGCAACCGAAACAATTTCTTCGGGCAAAACTTTAAATAATTCATAGACGTCTTCGAAAACACGCCAAAAGCTGCGACGCATATTACTGTCGAGACGGGGGGTCGTCGTAGAGGCCATGGCTAAATAGGTCGTTGATCACGCGCTGAATTACTGAATAACCTGGGGGTATTATTGTATCGTTGGTCACAATATATAAACTGGGGTATTGGCGTCCGTTCAACTTGAATGGTCGCCGTATTCCAATTTCGTGCCCACAGAACTTAAGAACAAGGTCAGTAATATGAGACTTTTCCTTATCTATTAATTCACTGTATACACGAATTTTTCTCTGAAGTAGCGTTCGCTCTACTGCATTCATTGTGATACAATGACAATGACTGACCTATGCTTATATACTTAAAAATATCTATTAGAACGAGAGAGGGTGGGATATAAACATGTATTCTTAAAACCGGTCCTTAATCCGAATCACGCGTCCAATCATGATTTAGACTAACTCTTACTAAGGGCGGTATTGTATAAACTGGTTTAACGCGAAATGTGTATATAAATACGAGCTGGTCTTTGTCATACATATACATATATGAATGCAATTATGATTGCCGATACACCGATCCCGCCTCTAGACGAGTGGTTTGAAATTGCATCGCAAATATATGCTGAAATCAAACAGTTCAAATGGCGCGGCGCTCACTATACCGGATCGCGATTTCGGTTTGAGCGCGAATGGTGGCGTGTAAGTGCGCCGATATCGCTAGATGGTCGGCACTCGTTCGCGCTCACACTCGACCTGAAAGATGTGCCTGAATTGGAGAGAACCGAACGTATCGATTTGGCGAACGGATTTGATTACGTTATAGCAGATCCTCGCGCGTACATATGCTCGATTGTGCGACTTATCGACATGGCACGTATGCATCAGGCCTGAAATATACAATGTATTACTTATATTTGAAAATTTGAATAAAATGAAATTTTTTTTAAATATAAAATTTAAATTAGTTATTTTTCATCAATTATAATAATAATTATGCATAAAATTATGCAAAATTATTGATATAATTTTGTTCATAATATTTGCTATAAGTTGGTATATTTTGGTCAATTTGTCCAGAGTTGGTATTTTCTTACTACTTTTTTATGTCAAAACGGCCGGTTTGGAAATCCATTCTCGTTCAATACTGAGTAGCTTTTTGCAACTAAAATCAAGTTTTTGTATGTGTTTATGTTATGTCTATGTATTTGTGCGCTGAAAACATAACTCTTAAAAATAAATGCATTTTTATGGACAATGAGTTTGAATTTAGTTTTTAATTTGAATTAAAGTGGATTTTTAGATTTAATTTTTCATTAACCAGATTTTGGCTCATATATATTGGTGTATTAAACTATGAAAATATTAAATCAGATTTAAAAAAAGTTAATTAATTTTAGAGTTATTCGCTTCGCGCGATAGCACTTTTTTACCACAATTTCCAACACTAATTATTTACTTATAAAATGTACTGAAATGTACTACAATATACATATAACCATAGAAACTGATGTGCACATATATTATAAATGAAATAGAGTTGTGTTTTCATTGCAAAAATATTTTATTGAGTAAAAAATATAAATCAATTCAAATGTACATTAATTCTCATAGAGATGGCGATTCATACGTATGAACTCGATGTCTGCCTCTGAGAATCTCGGCTCTTCTCGAGATGACCGATGCGATGATTTCTTTTTCTCTTTGCGATCCTTTTCTTTACCACCAGATGTCACCGGCTTTGGTCGCGTGTGTTTCCTTTTGCTGTCTGTATCGTCACGTCCACCATCATTGCTTAGTCGCCTCTTCTCTTTCGTCCGCGATGTGGATGGCGATGGGCACGTCTCCGATACGGTGCGGCTCACGACACTGCATTCACGCGGCGGCGGCGGCGGCGATGGATCGTCTACTCGTACGGCCACCACTGTTGTTGTCAGAGCTGGTGTTGGCGCTGTTGGCGTCTCCTCCGATCGCTGCTCATCTGTGATCTCTCCTTCTTCGCTGCTCGACGACGACGACGACGACGATGACGGCGCCGGTCTCGCGATCTTCGGGATACGATATCCATTCTTTGCGTTGCGTCCCTTTGGTTTCGCCACCACCGCTGACTCCTCTGCGTTGTTGTCATCGCCCGATGCATCTCTCGTGTTCGCGAAGGCTTCATTCAGCGTTGCTGCCATCGCATCCACTTTCGCCTTATACGCCATAAAGTAGTCCATCTTCTTCTTGTCGTCCGCCATCCAACACGCCAACACGTCGCCCGCGTCTTTCTTCACTATACGGGCCATCTCTGTGTTCACCTCCGTCAACAGGCCAACCACTGTCCGTCTCACTGTTGCCTCGCCAGCCTCGAAGTGCATCTCTTGATGATTCATATTTCATGAATTTTTTTTGTTGAATAAAATGTGACTCAAATTTGCGCTCGTATTTATATCAAATTTTTTAATACATAAATATTCTTGTTTTGCAATTATGTTTGTTTTTCTGGCACACATTGTTCGAGTTTTATATTAAAAAGTTTACTTAATGTCATTGCTTCCCCGCAGCCTTCCCTCTACTATGCGGCCTAATTTATTTGGGTCAATAGTTTATTGAAAACATCTTATCACTGACCCGGATTCATCGGATAATGTTTTTAAACTAATTTTGACGAAATTTTGGGAAAATTTTGAAAAATGTATTTTTTAGTTTAATTAATTATTCATTAAATTAAGCCTTTTTTAATTATGCAAATGATATTAAACGTTTTAATTGGCTCTCCTCTACTCACGTTATTCCTTAAAGTATTCAAAAGTTTCTAACCTAAAACTAAGCAAATAAAAGTCACATTTTTATATAAAGTTTCATTCAATATTGTAAGAAATGTTTATTCATTCTTTGATTAGTGAAATTTAAATTATTACTTTATATCTAGAGACGCATCCGATGCTCAAATTTTTTTAACAATTGGACAAAATTAAAACTAAAACATTTAATTTTCATTTTAATACAGTTAAACAAACTAAAATTACTTATTATTTTAAATAATTGTAATTATTAATTAAAAATTTCAAATATCATTCGAAAATTAGACATTTTTACTCAAACCTCCCTAGGATGAGCCCTCCCTATAATTAACACTTTTGTCGTGCAACTGGTCGTTCATTATAGAGAAGTTGGACTGTATTACACTTTACTTTACCTATATTTAATTGACACCTTAGACTGGTATTCTGTGGAATCTTATTTTATGGTAAATTTGTTGATAAATATTACACCAGTTATTGTAGCAAATCTTTGCGTATCGTTTATAATCGATATTTACGACCGATTGGACGCAATGCCGGCCGCGATGTTTATGGCCATATCGTTGGCCTCAGTGGTCATACAGGGGATGTGTCATTTAGTTAGCATATGTTTGCCCCGACACACGGCCTTCGCAGCCATAATCATAGCCGTGTTTTGTATTGTCACGAGCGATATTTTTATACGCATTAGTCGATTGTCACACACAGTACAACATATGCTCAATATATTGCCCTTCAAACCCGTATTTAACTATTTGATGGTCTATTTGTACGGTCGCGGCCGCTGTCTTACCGGTACTCACATGTCGTCCGTATTATATAAGTTTCAACTGACGGACGAAGACTTGGATAAGTCGTGGCGTCTATTGATATTTCAATGTGTTTTCTATACAATTGCTTCGTATTTAGTGCTTAAAGTTAGGATTCACTCGCAGTCCATACAAATTAAGTGCAAAATATTATTGAATTATTTTAAATGTTGTTAATTGACAATTAATAATTGTAAAGCCAGTTATATTTCATTGTAATAAATGTCAAGAATTATTTAATTTTAAAAAATTTAAGGATATTTTTTTCTAGAATTCTAATAAATAACTTAAATATCATTCTGTTTTAAAAAGTCTTTTACACATAATTCCACTATTTTTGTAATATTTATTCCACTATTTATTAATTAAAATTTAAATACCTTATTATCTAAGGGAGAACACGTAGGAGAACACGCTATTAGCAATAAATTTTTATTTTATAGTATTAATTACTTTATTTAATTAAACATAAAAACAGGCACTAATAAAACCATATTTGATAACAATTAAATTATTAGAAAACACCATTTTAATTAAGTTAAGAGTTGTTTGGGCACAAAAATGTTGCCATTGTATTACGTGGCGATAGCGGTGATTGTAATCTACATTTTATATACCCTGTTCATCGAGAATGACGACCAGGATCGATTGAAAGTATGCAAATAATTAAATTGTAAATAATATTTATTAAAATATAAAACTAAATGTTCAATAAACAGCCCATCTTTGAAGACGTCGACCGGCCGTATAATCGCAATGTTATCGACGGTCAGTACCCGAAGGGTTGGTATATAGTGTGCGCTTCAGACGAGGTGCCGATGGGTGGCGTCAAACCGTTTAGCATTTGCGGTCAGGAATATCTGGTTTTCAGGGGCTATTCGGGTGTGCCGTCCGTATTGACCGCCTATTGTCCCCATTTGGGCGCCAATATTGGTA